GAGCACTAGCAATGATTTTCTCGCCAGTGAGACGCCATACATGTAATTCATGAATACCTTTCACTTCAGGCACTTCTTCGAGTAGTTCCTTTTTGAGTGAATCTATTTCGATATGCTTAGGTACAGTTTGAAGTAGAATAAACAATGTTTCTTTAAATAGAGGTACGGTCGAAATTGTTATGACGATGACAATGATTACGGACAGTGTTGGATCAATGTAGATTGTCCAATGTTTATGATCGTTCGGATTATGTGGAACAAATTTGATGAGAAGAGCACTGATTATTACGACGGCAGAACCGAGTGCATCGGCTAGTACGTGTAGAAATACACCGTGCATGTTCATCGATGACGCTTTATGATCCTTTCGGCCTGCATTGTTACCGGCAGCACCAGCTGCGTTTGAAGCAGAAGAAACATGGGAATGTGAGTGATTGTGTGTGTTAGTGGCATAATCGTCAACAGTCTGGAACAAAAAGAGAGAGAGGAAGAAAGCACTCTTTCGGAAAACGCGTGGACATTTAGAGAAAGGAAGGTCGATCGACTGACCATGAGATCAGTAGTTATCTCTCTGTTTGGCTGAACTCTCTAAAGCATGGTCGATTTTTTTTAAGAATACGGGTCAGATTAATCGTTTTATAAAGCTCTCATACGATGACATGAAATGTAAGTAGATGTGTCAGCCAACAAGACGCCGCTACCGCTGCCGAACGCGGTCCAAAGCTGTGGGTCCCTCTGCCGCCGCAGATGAAAAATCTTGAAAAGTGTTGTGGTTGCGAATGTTTTTCGAAATTGAAAGGGTTTGCCTTCGAAGGATTCTAGATTTTAATCTTTTTTAACGAAAACTATTTAAAAAAAACTAAAATCGATGTGCTTTTTTCATGTCACTGCATTAGTTATTTGGTTAAAAGCTTGTATTATCATTTCCTCTCAGGGTTTGATGGATCAGGTTTCATTTTCCAATGGAGAATGTTATACAGCATCTATGCTGATATTTGATCTTGCACCATGCAAAATAGCTGATTTCACACGACTCATTTCTAAGTCGACGTCGGACTTTGATAGTTTCCACTCTCGTGGAGTCAAACATTTCTTCTCCATTTACATACAGTATATTCGCTGCTCCATTTACTTACGTATATCAAGCAGATAGGTGTCGGGGTCAGGATTTTTTGGTTGTGATCCGCTGAGAATCACTAGTTTCTCGGAAAAAGAATTCACCGTTGTTTGGTAGAATCTCAGACAAGAGCTCGTATTGTTGTTAATTTAAAAATTTCGATTCCCAGGGCCACTTTCGGTATGAAACCACGAGCAAAATGTCAATTTTCGACTTAGAAATAGGGATGTTTGTCTAGACGGACATTTTGGTGCTGGGTTCATGGGTTTACGCGTGGAACCAGCCGACTAAGTGGCACCCGCAAAGTGTTACCTTGGTCACCGGTCGATCCGATTACTATCTGTCGGCGTTAGAACAGAGGATAATAGATAGTGCTGCAATGTCAGTTCTATACCCCTTTGTTGAGGCGTCAACTCAATGTGTGAACCTGAATTCGGCAGTACGATCTCGAACACTTGATCATAACGATACTAAAACTTAAACTACCAGTGGAAAGATTTCCTTTGAGAAACAAATACGAACTGGGAACGCAGAAGTTTTGGAAGGGTAAAAAATGGCCAGTAAACCACTCACCTCATTTTTGATCAATCCCCCAAAATCTTTTTATGTATATAGTACTATTGAAAACTCACCTCGCATAGTGGTTGCCTACTGTGTCTCTTGAATTCGCTCGATCTTGTCACTTTTTCGAACAGTTCAGTATCGGCATCATTTGCAATTATCGCATTGCTGTTAATTATATGCGGTTTGCCAAGTCGATCTGCAACTACTGGCTCAGTATCCTTCTCATCGCTCCTATTTTTTCTTGTTTCTTTTGATGTACTATTGCTCGCATGATGAGTATGTCCGTGAGCTCCTCCGCCTCCATGCGAATGGCCATGAAAACCTTGAAAGAGAAAGAGACCAACGATATTGATAGCTAACCCAACCGAACCGACGATGAGAAGAAGATTGACATTAATAATAGGTTCAGGTTCAATGTACCGTTTGATGATATCGAACACAATTGTGAGACATAGAGCAAGGAGAAACACTGTATTGATATTGGCGCCAACGATTTCAGCGCGTACCCATCCATATGTATTTATATCTGAGCGACGTTTGGCAATACGAACGGCGATTAATGCAATAAGAAGCGATATAACATCGGAGAGCATATGTAGTGCGTCGGCAACAAGTGCCACAGAATTTGTTACGTTGCCAATGACGATTTCAACCACGAAATAGGCAAATGTTAACGAGAGCATGCACAAGAGCCGAAATGTTTTCGTTGAATAGAATCGATGATGGTGTTGCTGCTTGGATGGCGGAGTAGCATGGGCTTCGAGAGATGACGCAGTCATTGTTACACGACTTCAAGTGAATGCTTCAATTTTCAACTGTTTATGGATGGTAAAAAAAAGGTAGAATGAAAGTGTGATGCGCCGACATCCCCGCACAAAAATAATGACTAATGTACACGTTCTGTTCTCTTCTTGAGTCTCATGCGTGAAATTCTAAAAACATTCCAGCATATTCAAATTAAAACATAATTGAACAAGTATGGTGTGACGCTACGATAATGACAAGGCGTATACACAGAGAGCAACGCATAAATGTTACTGGCTTGCTCCTCTTGTAAAATTTCACGCATCAGACTCGAGAAAAGAACAGATATTTTACATTAGTCATTATTTTTGTGTTGAGATGCCTGTGCATCATACTAACATTCTATCTTTTCTTTCACCATCTATGAATTATTTGCAAGTTGAAACAATATACATCAAATTGCTGCATTCTTGTTCTTCTTCCAAAGGTGGGAAACTTCAGTTAAGTACAACTTCAACTCAACTCCAACTCCATTTCAACTCCCAGTTGAAATCTATTCATTCTTTTTCCTTCCTGTTTTTTAATTCGTTTACATAACGGTCTTGTTTTCTTTTATAATAGTACGTATACAAAAAAATCATTATAATAAATCAAAATTACATTTCAATAATGTTGATTTTTCTTTTTCTTCCATACGATACATGTGCAGCGGGATGTGAGATGCATCATATGTTATTATATGCTCAGCACACGTTTATATCTCTTGCGACAAAAATAAGATAGAAAATAGATAAAAACCAAACAAAAAGAACCCTCGCGAAGAAAAGGAAATGGAGTTGAAGAAATTTTGAACTGGAGTTGGAGTTGACAAAATCTGTTATCAACTCAACTCCGATCGTTTAAAAAGCAAAATCTAACTCAACTTCAGCTTCACACAAAAAAGCTACTCAACTCCGGAGTTGAGTTGCCCAGTTCTCTCTTCTTTCCGCTAGAGATTAACATTCACGTGAAGCTGTGAAACAATGACTGCATCATCTCTTGATATCCATGCCACTTCTCAAGTAGTTTCAAAAAACAAGCCATTCACACTTTTGTTTCTCGATGTATAACAAATAAAATCGACTGAAAGAAACCACTATATCCCCATCTGGAAAAAGTTGATAAGTTCGCAATAAAAATGTGAACTATCCGGCTCATGTAGAATGGTTTTTTTTTGGTCACTTCAAGCTCTAAACATATCAGATTCAAATTTTTCTACTCAGTGATACAATATGAAAAAATCTATTGGGTAAAAGAACTAGACAAAGATTGTATTTTCTATATAAAACAGACAAACAACGAAACATTTTCTACATATAAATTCACATTGTATAGTGTATTAAACTGAACAACCAATATTAGCAGACTAAGTGGTCGATGTATACATAAATTAGTTTATAGACTTTTCAAGTACATTCATGTAATTTTTCTATTTAATTAATTTCGTCGGCATTTGCCACATTTTATTTTTAAGAAAGATTGGAACAATTTTTGAAGTTCTTCTCCTAGATTCGATCTACCGACCTTTCATATGCTGTACTTCTCCAACTACGTATTTTCCCGTTGCACTAAATTGTGCAAAGGAAAGATGATACATTCGTATGAAGACCGTACACTTACGTATATGTTTAAATAGTCTTTACAAGTGATCAGTCACATGTTTCAATCAGAAATTTGCGGTCTACAATAATGCTTTATTAAGAAAGGTTTAGGTTACTTTTTAGCGTTTCGGAGAGACTGGTTTTCCAGAAAAACGGATCCTCGCACGATTAAGGGCAGCTCCCATAATCATACTCGGAATCAGCATGGTCGATAACCTATAATCCACTAGATTTCGATCAAAAAGCGTTTTATCATCTCCAGAGGTTCCCTCGTTAGCCAAAAATATGTAATTTATTACAAAACAGCCTGTTGAATTTAAACAAACACAGTAAACGTCTTTTTAGCTTCACATGAAAAACGCTTAACTTAGCTACCGGAATCTCTGTGCGTTACCGTTTTTTCACTTTTCGTCTATCCTACAATTTTCGGAAAGAATATTATAGAATCCTGGAAAGCGTCTTGTTTTGTAGAATGAAGTGCGTTCTTCAAAATCCACTACTAGCTCAATTCGAAATAATTGACGACTTTTCGGTTACAATCGAAATACTAAAAACCCTAAAAACAAACGACAATGTTTTTGGGGCTCTTCGTATTTTAAGTACAGCATAAAAAGCGTCAATTATCTTGAAATGAGCTAGTGGTGGATTTTGAAGAACGCACTTCATTCTACAAAACAAGACACTTTCCAGGATTCTACGATATTCTTTCCGAAAAGTATAGGATACACGATAAGAGAAAAAACGGTAACGCACAGAGATTCCGGTATAGCAGAGTTACGCGTTTTTCATGTTCAGATTGTGTTAGAGAAGAGAATCAACTGTTGTTTATTGTTTCTAACTCTAGGAAAAATATCTTGATGTTATACATGATGAAAATCTAAAACTCATTCATTTTATGTTTTTCTGCACTATAAACACGAAGAGACTTTTAACTGATAATAATTAAACGCTATTAATTTAAAAAATGATTGTAATGCCCTTTTCTGTTAACACATACGGCGGTTCAAGGTTTTCTGAATAAAACACAATACAGAAGCGTTTGACGGATGATATTTGGAATGATGTTTTGTTTTTGTTACCCAACTGAAGTAAAAGCAAAAAAGGTCTTTCCTGATCTATTTTTCGTTAAAAAAGAATGCGCGTAGTATGTTGCACATGAATGATGAGAAAGATGACGCTGGTGGTGAAGGTAGTCATCGTTAATCTCTGTATAAATGAAAATTAATATCTGATCCTTTCTGTTCATGTGGGGCTGTTGAAACTAGTGAACATTTTTCTTCCATTATTCTCTGTATAATATTGAACGTTCCTTATTGTTTGATGAGGTATTGAAGCTATTGTCTATGGCCTCAACTATTTCTATGCCCATGCTGATGTTGCGCGATCTGCAATTATCGCATGATGAATGCGATGGCATTTATTATTCTGTGTTGCGGTATATAGATGCGACAAAGCGTTTTGCAAGTTCGGTCTGAGTAACCTTCAATTCTAGTATATCCAACTGCCTCTTTCACCTGTTAGCAACTTCCGTTGCGTTTAGTGTTATTTCTTTTTATCATTATATTTCATTTTGAATCTTTGTTTTTTGGGAAGGAATTGTACAAAGAATGCCGATGCAACATCAACCATGGAACATACAGAGCGCTATCCTCACTTTTTTATTCCCTGTCCAACTTTTCTTTTTTCTTTTGTTTCAACTTTTCTCCTTTTTTACTTTACTATTGATCTTTTACTTGTTTTTTCTTTCTGTACTCTTGTTTATTGTTGGCAAAATTGCTCGTTTATGGTGCTACAGTGAGTCCGCGACTCTTTGCATTTATTTTTCTCTTTCTTTCAATAAAACGTTTAAAAGAAAGAAGTATTACATAGACTAATAATAGAATCGACTCACGATGCTGCTGAACTACCCGAAAAATGCCTACATTTTCTTTACGTTTCACTTTGAATTTTTCTTCTGATTCGGCATCAAAAATAAAATTTAAAAATGCATTTACGAGTTCGTAGTCTAGAACTTGGCTTGACAGCAGACTACAGTACAACTTAGTTCACCTTCCAACTTCAAAGAAAGCCATCTGTTTGATCTTTCTTCCTTCTTCACGCTTATAGAAGTGAACATAGAAATCAAGAAAACGAGAAAAGAACAACTTTTCTATTTTAATCTAGATAGTCATTTATTATGTCTAAAATAAGCAGTGTTCATCCTATATTCTAGCA